TCACACCATCTTGGTCTTTATACCTTCGATTAAATTCTATAAGGTCTCTTTGGCAGCCTGATTAAGTTGGGAAAACGAAGTTAGATTATTGCAGGAGGACGGAGTGTTATACTCGGAACAGGAATTATTAAGTGAATAGCTAAGCTTCAGACCTAAGAACAACGAGGAATGTGAGGAAGTAGGACGAAAGTAAGATAATTTGATAATTGTAAATCAGCAGCTATTACTATAAATCGTCCGGAAACAACGTGGATCTAAATGTAAAAGGGCAAAAAGAGTAAAGATAAAAATATCAGGAGCTGTCCTTGGTAAGGCTATCGTACACGTTCTTTAATAAGTTCACAGTCACTTGTGAAGATTACGGTGGCCAGACCCGATGGACTATAATTGGCCAGTTTAATAAGACAAGGAGTTTCAAGGACAGATGATGCCAGTTGAAAGCAGTTAAGTGAGGAGGCCCAGCAGGCTGAATGGGAAGTGGGTAGTGAAGATGAATACTCCTTAATATATCCAGTAAAGCGACACATCTGGGATATAGTTGAACAAACAAGGATACACAGGGGTTACGAATAGAGAATTGGGAGTAAAGGATGAGGGTATATAAGCACGAATAGAAAGAGCGAATAGACGCCAAAATATTTTTTTCGAATTGGCAACTTGCCTTTATTTGTAACTTTGACGAGTCATAGCATGGAGCTTCTCATTGATATCTCTGAATACGATGCAAGTCGTATGGAAATGTATCAAGTCAAGGGTCTGATGCTGGACGAAATGCCTCTGCAATTGCAGAGGCAGTAAGGGGTGCGTTGTCTACATTTTCCCTAAAAACACGATTTAGTCGTGAAAATGAGGTTAACGGAAAGAAACTGAGACCAAAGCAAATATTACCATCTTGACCTTCAAAGCTATAATCCTAAACTTCTCCTGCTACATATATGTCGATCAAATGAATAGATAATTGAAGGAAATATGCCAAAAAATGGCACAACTAGAACTTTAGGTATAAAACGCGGGTACATACAAAGTAAACTAAAGGACCCATACTGGTCAATTTACTACACAAAAGCTGAACAAAATCATATATAAAACAAATTCAGCCAAAAAAAGTAACAAGATAAAATAAAATAATATATTATTAGGCTTACCTCCAATCCTCGAGTAGATAGTGGAGCATCCCCTCCAATTTTACCGCATACGTTTAGTTCACTTTCTCCATGCTGAAAAAGGAATTTAGATGTTTAACTAAGCACCTATTTAAGAATAAATAAATATTTTATTATGGCTGAAAAATATAGAAAGCATTGTTATCTGCACATTATTGATTTATTAATCGTTTCATAAGTATGTGTTAAGGGCACCCAGTAGATCTGATATATGAGCTGTATTCACTCTATTTCGTCTAATGGTAGAAGGAATGGTAGCTGAATTCTTTCACTGTGATACGAGTAGGTTTTATGTTTCCATTAATTTCACTTAGCCTCGCTTCTCAACAGGTATTCTTATCCAGGGTGGACCCGAGTGGAACTCCTATCCTGGTAGTGCAGCGTATAATCTCGAAAAGTGATCCACTACGCTTCATTGTCACGAGTGCACTTGGGTCACATGTCAGAGGTGAATTTCTCATATCACATTTCTGTGATGGGATTATTAAAAAAATAAAGTAGCTATAGCAATCGATAATATTACTTATTCTTCATTTTAAAAGTAGGCTTGCAATACTACCAGTAAACCCAATATCAGAGCCGAATTCACCCTATTTCGTTTAAGGTGATAAATTACTGATGGTAGTTGGCGTAGTGGTTAACGTGACAAGATTATACGCCACACTAGCGAGATTCGAGTACGATTAGGGTGCTGATGAGCCCTATGTAAGGTTAGAACTGCAGTATACCCAAAATGGGAATATCTTATAGGAAGCAAGGCTATATGATATTCGATTAAAATATGCGGCCAAATCGTATCAATGTGGGAAAATTCAGCCACCAGAAAGTAGCAAAATCAATACCAGAATATAAAAGACGTAAATCTTTGTATAAATAAAAGATATCTCCAAATCATTTAGCCAATGAAGTAACGCAAAAGTTGAGCTTATAGTTTTTCGTATGATCTTTTCCTTCAATGTTTATGCCAGCCAAATTTCATTATTGGCAGAAAATTAAGCTACTAGCCTTCATCACTGGACGAAGTAGGGTGAATAGAATTCTTATTCAAGATTTACTGATATTCTCAAAAAGCTACTTAAAATAAAAATATTTTATTATATAAAGTACATAAAATAGGAATGCTTGTGAGTCCTTATGTATGCTAATGATAGCTTTCCTTCGTAGATTTAAACACCTGCCTTTCAGTTTAAAATATTAATTTAGATTATAATAAAATTCAGGCAAGCGAAGGAAAGCCATCGGACAAGAAATAAATTTTACCAATTAAGCCAATTCACAACCAATCTGATTTGACATACTTTGGTCTTATATTAAAACACTTTTGTTTTTAGCCAGATCGTCAAGGCTACCCATCGATCTTGGATAAGAAGTATATTCAATCTATTTTGTTTAGAGCGATGAAGCTTGGTAGCTGATATGAGTACAACCACACATATAGGATTAACGGAGGCATGAAGTCCATGATAATAGGGAGCCTTCGACTGGCAGAGGTTAGTCATCGGGACCAGAAATTGAGATGAGTAAGGAGAATTTTGGTTGAGAACAATTATCCACTATGACTGATTAACAACTAGTTTAGACAATTGTCAAATAGGATGAAGTAAAATACATATTTGTGGCTAGATAAAAGGCGAGAACATTGTACCAGAGTCTTTATACTACCATCGTGTAATCTCTCGAAGAAGATAGGCGAATTACTGAAGTGGGACATCAGGACTATATAAAAAGAGAAAATAAGACGTACATAGGTAATTTTTCATTCATAAATAGGCTTTAGAGACCGCGTATAGAACAAGAAAAGTCATAGCGGAGGACTGGGAGTGGAAATGCTAAAATGGAGGCATGTAAAATTTGTGGGAAAGAATGAGAGTGCAGTGTTTGGACAGAGAATGTAATATGGGAAGAGAGAATAAAGAAATATAAAAGGACAGAAAGGTCAGCAAAAAGAAGACGCTTGGACTAAGGATAACTATTCAATAACAGGAAGAAGCATCGCCAAGAAAAGGACCATGAGGGACGAAGGGAAATCAAGAAGGGTGATTTCAATGAGATTTAACTCTAGAATCAGCTTTAAAAATGACCGGTGTTTGCCCACCTATGGATTGTGAGATAGAACATGAAGGGAAATAAACATGCAGATTGTACATCAGTAGACGAGCAAGTGTACAAATATAGGTCATCAAGGTGTGGAAACCGACCTGGAAACAAAGTATTAGTTGGTCCTCAATGTGCATGTGTGCCTTAATGAGAGGCGACTGATTACCTATCTAACTAGGGAAGGGATACCAATCAAGGTGCACATTACAACTGACTAGAAGTATAGGATTAGATGGGACTGCCAACTTGAGGGACAAAAGGAGTGTGCTTTACGCGATTCAGGAATGAAAAAGGGAGGCAGAGCATTTTGACAACAGCGGTTTCAAAATAAGCACAGGGCATCAAAGAATAAAATACAATAGAGATGGGGATGAGAAAGAGGATAACTGGGTCATTAGCTGGAAACCTAGGAAGAGGAGGATGCCTAGGCACGGGAATAATCGACTTGCCTGGCTCATAATCAGCCATACAGTGATTATCATGTGTAGCAGGGAGCAACTTACAAGCTGAGTGGAAAGAAGGGGCTAAATAAAAGTAAGAGACATAACCCGGGAGTTCTGCAAACAATATCCGAAACCGATGATGAGGATGATTACGCTTCACTAAGTCCACTTGTAGCGACACGCTCTTAGGCGAAATCGGAGAAAGCGGGAGCATAGAATGGTGTAACTAGGTAAATTGGCGATAGAAAATGGGGTTGAGGGAACAAACGCAGCACTAGAAGGTAGGGCAAGAACTATGGGCAAGGAGCGATGCCACAATGGTTGAACAGAAAATTGGTAAAGGGGATTGCCTTCACTTGTCACTTCGATAAGCTGTAGCTCTGTGTTAACTAAGTCGCCTCCCACTGACGATGCCGATGAACTATCTAGGAATGTACCAAATCAACAGTACGGTGCTAGAAATTAAGAATACTGTCAAAGGACGCAGGACTAGATACGTTCCATAAGATCTCCCTATCGCTCCTACCAATTTGCGAAAACGAGGTCAAACCGAATCTATACAGCTAGAGGCTGCAACCAAACAGAAAACGACATCATCGTGGTGTTCATATATACGATTTACTTACTGCTATTTTCCAGATACATTAAAATATTTATTTAAATATCTTCATATAATTTTGCCTCTTTGTAAATAGGAAAAACAAAGATGTGAAACACAATCTAGGTATCCTCTACAAATGAGCTCTAACGATTTTATTTTTAGCTCTTTTTGCAAATAAAAAGGATGAAAGATTTTTAAAAATTAAGCCCTACAAAAGGAAAGGAAATTATAATATATTGCAGAAGATAATACTATAGTGAAAAGTTATCGTGTGGTACTTGCTTATTTAACTCAATTTTCTACAGCAGGTATAACGCCAAATCGCTATGCTCGAGCATAAAAGAGATTCTGTAATGATGTATCAACGCAAGCTAAATTAACTTAGTGAGTCTAAACTATTCACAGCTAAAGCAAATTATATATAATTTGAACGAACTATTTTAAGAAATTATAACTTTCATCCCATATATAATTATGGAAGTGTTTCATGATGACAGAATTATATGTATATAAGAATTCAACCAGGTTTTTAAAGGTGATTGTATGAAACGAAGCTTAGTACTAAGTAAAATTGGATTAGCGAGAATTGAGTCACCTAAAACGTCCTAAGATACGTAAATTAATATAGTAAAACTTCAAAATAAAATTTTAAAACATACATGCATGCATGGAATGCTAAATTATTATTGTTAAGCAAAATTTAAAAAACAAATAAGATAGACACATATATATATATATGATTCATGTGAATAACCAGTGTAAATATTAAATTAATTCGCAAACGGACAAAGGAAAAAATACATTCATTCTATTCCGTTTAAAATGATTAAGGACTGGTAGTTGAAATCTCTCACATTTATATAAGTGGGCCTCAGGTTTCAAATGAATTTCACATAGCCTTACCTCCTAAAAGATATGCTTATGCAGGATAGACTAGAGTTTCGCCTAGGCCTTCGATTCACATTCCCAGCGGTAATCAAACTTGGGTAGTGCAGCATATTAACTCTAAATGTTAACCGCTATACTACGATACCGCATATGCCCTCAGGTTAAGGGCAGACGCGAATTTCAAGGCCAGACCATTCCAATATCAATTGCTGAGGTTGAATTGCTGATAATGCAAAAATTTACTTGCTATGGCAGCCGAATATATTACGTATTTCCGTTTAAAGAGGGTTTCAAGACAACCAGTAAATAACATTTATGAGAGATATTCACCATATTTCATTTAAGGTGAAAGACTAATAGTTCAATTTTCTCACGGTGGCATTAGTTGGTTTAACGTTTTCATGAAAAAATAGGGTTAATACAACTTATTTATATAATCCATTAGTAGGCTCGAAGTCTAAATGTAAACATAAAAAAGAAACAAAACATTAGTTTTAAAATCACTTGATATCTACACACAAAACTAAATTTACGATGGATGCCGTAGTTCGATTTTCGAAATAGTGTAAATAAGCTCCATTAATTAAGTTTGCCTTAAATTTGGGTATTAAAAATAATAAAAATTTTGAATTTCTGATAAATTTTTGCTTTGCCGATAAAAAAATATATTCGAGCAAAACTCTAAAGTTGGTGGTAAGTTGATTGAGCGCCATAAAAAACAATTAATCAGAAAGACTTACTCTGGTAAGATATATTGTTCTTCTTCCAACTTTTATATTCATCAAATAAAAGGCGATTCTACTCTGCAAATTTCCTAAATAAATAAATTAATATAAGTAAATTATTAGGCAAAATAAATATATACTTACATTGAAATATTTATTTAAAATGTACATAATTAGATAAAAAGAAGTTTTGAAATACGACAGTTTACCTTCTATCCTATTAACAAGATATCTTGTTCCTTGATCAAATATTTTGATATACGAAAGTTCTTTATCTAGCTCATCATCAATTGGCTGATACTGAGCTTCATAGTGCCGAATCCGAT